CATGCAAAGCTGCCTGCCTGCCTTCCTTTGATTCTCTCTGAACTGCCTGGTCGTTTTAATGTTTAATGTCAACCATTTGTGCAGATAGCATGAAGTAGAGAAGATCGTCGATGCTAGCGTTAGCGTTAGCATTTCTCCCCCGGGCTTAAATTGTGTATTATAGAATGATCACACCGGTGACAGTACTATTCAAAGGGTTCACGAAATATGACTACTACTCTTACTGTTTAACATGTTGGGTTACTTAATGTTACTTCATGTTAAGGCTAATAAGAATGACAAGGCTGTAATGCTAACTAACGTGCTAGCTACTAGCTAACTTGATCCAGCCACTCCTGGTCCTTTGATCAGACGGGAAGCGAAAGAACGAGCAAGACCCATTGCTGGTATGATAACAACCTGGTACTAAGCACACAGGCATCTTGTTAAAGTTATCTTATCTTAGCCAGCGCCATATAGATAGATTATATCTATATTGCGCTGATCTTAGCTATCTCTTAGTGGAGGAAAACAATTGTGACATCACTTACGCAACTCTGGGATTTGTAGTCTTTCTAGTTACGTATTTTTCATAGTCTTATATTTCAACAGTTTTACGACAAACTGTGACTTTTTTGACATGGAAATTATTTTTTAAGATTGACAAACATCATATGTGTAATTCATGGCACAATTCAAACGGGATAGAAAGATAAGTTTTCTCTCCCCATTGACTTCAATGCATAATTTTTCCGAAATAAGGTCCCATTACCCGGAAGTAGGTGGGCGTGACTTCGCCACTCTATAGCCCAACATTAGCCACCTTTAGCTTAGCGGTGGTGACGTGAAGTCATGTGACCGTGCTGTAGTTCCTTTATAGCCCAACATTAGCCGCCTTTAGTTTAGCGGTGGTGACGTGAAGTCATGTGACCGTGCTGTAGTTCCTTTATAGCCCAACTAGCCTCCTTTAGCTTAGCGGTGGTGACGTGAATTCATGTGACCGTGCTGTAGTTTCTTTATAGCCCAACATTAGCCACCTTTAGCTTAGCGGTGGTGACGTGAAGTCATGTGACCGTGCTGTAGTTCCTTTATAGCCCAACATTAGCCACCTTTAGCTTAGCGGTGGTGACGTGAAGTCATGTGACCGTGCTGTAGTTCCTTTATAGCCCAACATTAGCCTCCTTTAGCTTAGCGGTGGTGACGTGAAGTCATGTGACCATGCTGTAGTTCCTTTATAGCCCAACATTAGCCACCTTTAGCTTAGCGGTGGTGACGTGAAGTCATGTGACCGTGCTGTAGTTCCTTTATAGCCCAACATTAGCCACCTTTAGCTTAGCGGTGGTGACGTGAAGTCATGTGACCGTTCTGTAGTTCCTTTATAGACCAACATTAGCCTCCTTTAGCTTAGCGGTGGTGACGTGAAGTCATGTGACCGTTCTGTAGTTCCTTTATAGACCAACATTAGCCTCCTTTAGACAGACAGACAGACAGACAGGTAGACTGACAGACAGACAGACAGACACACAGGTACCGTGTTCCCCGGGCTGCTGCAGCGCTGCACTCTGAACTTGCTGTGGTTCTTTTTGCTGCGAGTTTTGTTCTTCCGGATCTCTTCACAGCGATCGTAGTCCGACAAATCCAGAACCTCGTCCGCACGTCCCAGCTCCTTCACCTGCACACAGGTAACAGCTTCATTATGCTACAACACAGTCTCACGGCATTTGGTGTTATAGTCACGAAATTAATCTATTGATTCGTGTTCACGATTTCGCCATTTTTTTCGTGTCACACAGAACGATTTTAAAAGCAATGTAAATAATAACAAATTAGAAGGAAAAAAAGATGACAAAAAATCCAGATGTCAGTATTCTGAGGCTCTGAGCCATTTCTTTTCCTCACTGACGGCAACAAAACTCAGACATTATACAATTTAAAATAAAAGGGATAGGGTTAGGCTTAGGGTAAGATATTGAGTAAGAACATGTTTTTATGAACCACACAGCTTCTAGACCCGACCCGACAAAAAGACGTGTTGCAGGCACGAAACATACTACCAATAGAAATACATTGCTTTTAAAAATCGTTCTGTGTGACACGAAGAAAATACGAAAATCGTGTTGGTGAACACGAATCAATAGATTAAATTAATTTCGTGACGATAACACAAAATGCCGTGAGACTGGGTTGTATGCTAAGCTAACACAAAGCTCCTTCACCTGCACACAGGTAACAGCTTCATTATGCTAAGCTAACACAAAGCTCCTTCACCTGCACACAGGTAACAGCTTCATTGTGCTAAGCTAACACATAGCTCCTTCACCTGCACACAGGTAACAGCTTCATTATGCTAAGCTAACACAAAGCTCTTTCACCGGCACACAGGTAACAGCTTCATTATGCTAAGCTAACACATAGCTCCTTCACCTGCACACAGGTAACAGCTTCATTATGCTAAGCTAACACAAAGCTCCTTCACCGGCACACAGGTAACAGCTTCATTATGCTAAGCTAACACATAGCTCCTTCACCTGCACACAGGTAACAGCTTCATTATGCTAAGCTAACACATAGCTCCTTCACCTGCACACAGGTTACAGCTTCATTATGCTAAGCTAACACATAGCTCCTTCACCTGCACACAGGTTACAGCTTCATTATGCTAAGCTAACACATAGCTCCTTCACCTGCACACAGGTAACAGCTTCATTGTGCTAAGCTAACACATAGCTCCTTCACCTGCACACAGGTAACAGCTTCATTATGCTAAGCTAACACATAGCTCCTTCACCTGCACACAGGTAACAGCCCTTAAGATGCTAAGCTAACACATAGCTTCCTTCACCTGCAACACAGGTACAGCCTTCATTATGAATAAGGCTAACACATAGCTACTTCACCTGCACACAGGTTACAGCTTCATTATGCTAAGGCTAACACATAGCTACTTCATCTGCACCACAGGTTACAGCTCATTATGCTAGCTAAACACATAGCCTCCTTCACCTAGCACACAGGTTACAGCTTCATTATGCTAAGCTAAACACATAGCTACTTCACCTGCAGCACAGGTTACAGCTTCATTATGCTAAGGCTAACACATAGCTCCTTCACCTGCACACAGGTACAGCTTCTTATGCTAAGCTAACACATAGCTACTTCACCTGCACACAGGTTACGCGTCATATGCTAGCGAACACATATCCGCCTTCACCGCAAAGGTACAGAGTCATTATGTAAGCTACACCATAGCTCCTTCACCTGCACACAGGTTACAGCTTCTTATGCTAAGCTAAC